AGCGCATCTTCGTTCAAGGAGACGACCACCGTTGTCACATTGCTCCGGGCGCAGCCTGGTGGCCGGCTAAAAGAGATAGGTAGTTGGAAAAGCGCTGGGAGCAATATGACAGTCCTCGCTTCCGGCCGCTGATGTCATATTGGCCGGGGCCCGTCAGTGCATGTGCAAACTCGCCTCTTTTCCGCTGAACACGGTCTGCTCCTCTCCGGAGACAAATCCATGTAATCCAGAATCTGCGAGGCTTCCCACGGTATTTTGTCTCGAAGAAAAGCACACCGGATTCAGCGTCCAAGTTCGAAATCCGCTCGTCCCCGGCCAAGGCCAGGGACCCCTTCGAGGCACCCAGGGAGATTGAATATTGGGGGGTCGGTTATTTTGGGGTTGAGGGCTCGCTAGCGCTTGCCCTCATTGCATCCCTCCTTCTTAACCAGACGGTGTCCCAACCGTCGACACTGAAACTCCACAACAACTAACCAAAGAAACAGGGGGGATTTTTGAATATGATGTGTGTGTGATTCTGAGTGAGTACTTCAGGGCTCCTGATCGCCTACTTTCTTAACCTAGGTAAAGGTGATTAACTTAATTTAATAACAAAATTTACCCTGATCCACCATCTATAGAGGGTCGGAATGTTTGCCTCTGTGGTCACAATCATACTTTCTCAGATGCAATGCCAGCTAGATTTCCACAGGGTGGCGAATCAGAGCTGCGTGGGGCGGGGGAGGAAGGCGCTGAGGCCTATGGTCTCCGCTTGGGCGCCGGCACGAGTAATCAGATTGGGGCCAGGTGTTGCAAACCAACGGGGTGGTTAAGAACGTCTTCCATCGGGTCCGAATAACCGTGCAAGCGTGGTCATACAAAAGTCGTCATTGACACGCCAGAATGCGAGGGGTCGTCATCCGCTCGTGGAGCGCCGCGGTCGTGGTTGACTAGGAGTGGCTTGTGGCGACGGCGTGGGAAGTAAGTAGCCGTGACGTAGTGGCTTTACTCACCCAGAGGCGCGTCGGCACGAACGTAAAGCCGGGTGCAGGCAACATTCAAATGAGAGCGGGCGAGGCGCTGGGAAAGCGGCTGGAGTCGCGTGCCCCTTTGATGCTACTATCCACGTGGTTGGGCTCTCGGGTTTCCACTCGTAAGATGTCGAGGGTTCCCAGCCTCAAGGTGGCGTTAACACAACAGTGCCGCCGAAACTGTAGCAGCGGGACGTTTCGCAGTCCAGGATTGATGACGCGGCGCATGCCGGGATAGCGTGGCGGATTTCGCCGCGAGTGCAGGGAGTGTCAGCTTACTCCGGTCAATGTACCTACGTCTTCCAGCAGCGTGGCAGTCACAGTCGGCCCCGAGATTCTGTTGCTCCGTCGCGCCTGGGCTCGGTCGCCGACACGTTACCTTAAGATAGTGAGATCGTGGCCACAGAGGCTGGAAATTATTTGGGGGAGGGGGGTGGTGGTCATATATTATCTATTTACATTATTCACTATTTCAGATTGATTTTACGCTATCTGCACAATATAAAGTTGAATAAGTAAAAATAAAGATTAAAATTAATTAAAATGAAGATTGTTGAAAGAAAAATTAAAAAGCGCGATTTAAATTTAAATAAAGATGATTGAAAGAAAGGAATTCATGAATCATAGTGCATTCAAAACCAATCAACCCGGGGGTCAACATGGGGATTCTCCCTCCCGCCTCCCTATCGACAGCCGCCCTCGGCTGAAGGCGTTCTTTTTCTAATCTTGTCAAAGTGAGGGAAAGGAAATCACGGAGCCATATACTTAGGCCGTCCATTTTTGCTCCTCTTATAATTAAAGCTAATCAAAGTTAAATGTAGGTAAAGGAAAATCTAATATTAAAAAACAATAATTACCATTGGCGCATGTACATTATTTACAAGTTTCGTTTGGGACTAACCCAATTTACTGGTTTTTCATTAAAAGCGTTCACTAATTAAAATTTAAATTTCTGTTAGTCACTGGGATTAGATATTCTACTATTTATAATATTCGTAAATTAAAGTGGTAAAATATAATCTTCAAACTTAGTAGATTTGGCGGTAGCGTATGCTAACTAGAGGAATCTAGTGCTAATTTGATCCGCTAAAATTACGCCTACAATTTAATGAATAATGGTTAATATGTACAACATTTGTGCTGAAAACAATGAGAGTGTGTGTGGAAACTAAGATATATTTCAACTAAATAATAAAGCGCTTTTATTTTTTTTTTTTTTTTGGAGCTTGATAGCCAAAGGTTTCTCAATTGAAATCTTTTCTTGTCTCTCTCATTACATTAAACATTTCATTGACATTCAGATTACTAATTGGATTACTTTATTTTTGACTTTACCATGATGTTTATCAACATTTCGCACAATATGCATTTCTCCATCAGAGGCAATGCTTCACATTAGCTGCTCAAGGAAAAGTTAGAAATAAGCCTGTTACAAACTGAGCTATAGCATTACAAGTCCCAGTAAAGATCCAAAATTTTAGAAGTAAGAAATATTAGAGGGGGAACCAAGATCTGCAATAAGTAGTGAGTAGTGAGTTGGCATTAATTGATGATTTAAGATGATTATTGTAATCTGACAAAGGATTATTTCTTTGCCCCAGGGGCGCTGGAAAAAGGGTTTGTTAACCTTAAGCATACTTTTTCTTAAAAGTTTAAACATAAAATTTTTACTATCCTTATTGATCAGGAGCCGAGAAGCGTGTACTATAACTAAGGTTTTCCAGGTTTTACCGGGCGTCACGCTCCTGGAAAAGCGCATGTCTCTCTCTTAGAACCTTAGCCCATAGCGCTCAGGTTAGAGCACTGAGTGGCACTACTAAGTCCAATGTTTTGGATCGTTCGTGAGGTGGGTTGTTAACCGCTTCTGGTAGTGCAAGCCAACCTTTTTGCTCCTACGAGTGCTCAAAAGATAACACAAAATTAAGTTGTTCCGTATAGGTACACCTTAGAAGGAATTAGTACGAATGTCAGGGTCCTGTGCTGACCGGTCATCGGACCTTACTCGTAAATTGAGTTGCGTTCATTCAACTGGATCACATTGTGATGAATTATATCGTTAAGCGATGGTAAAATGTAGAATTTCGCTGAGCCGTCATGTCCGCCTTCAGTTTGTCAACAGCTGATTCTCAACATGCTGCCAGACTGAAATGGATCCGGCGAGGCGAATGTGAATCCTCAGATTTCACTGACTTTGATTTAGTGAGGCGAGTGGGTCAATTCATCCGGGAGCCCAGCCGTCTTTCTAAATCTTAGGTTGCCGTGCCGTGGTTTGTGTCCTAACCAATTGGTNTTTTTTTTTTTTTTTTTTTTTTTTTTTTTTTTTTTTTTTTTTTTTTTTTTTTTTTTTTTTTTTTTCTTTCTTTTTTGTCTAGGCTTTTCGGAGTTAAGCTCCCTTCATTTTGACTTCGAGTAAATTTAAGGATTTACAATGAGAATTGTTCTAAGTTTCTCTTTTTCAGTTGAAGTTTGACTATGAGATTAAAGTATTATGTATTTTTATCTAAGTGCCTCATAATAGCAAGCATGAGGCTTGAGGCATTTACGTGACTCTAGTCCGCGTTAGCATAGGACTTAATTCATCTTCATCTAAAGGAAATCGGATTAATTTTAACAGCGGTGCAATGAGTGGCACGCTAACTTGGAACTAGATAATTAATCATAAATTATTTAATTAAGAAATTTAAGAAAAGGAAGAAATCCAGGAATACCGTACTTAAACCGTAGAAAAAAATTCATACTTTTGTTGCTATAGTACGTCTCCCTTCGCTTCTGGATTGTTGAGTGAAATGAATTTATATTCCCCTTTTTTTCTTAAATAAAAAAAAACAAGTTTTCCAGGGCAATTCAGTGCACCGCTGTTACAATTAGCTCGGTTTCGCTGAGCCCGTAGACTCTAGAGTAAGTTTAAAGGTCCAAATGCTTATTATATTGCCTTTTCACGAGAATGTCAAATGGCACTTGTTCAAACCAAGGCTTAATTTTTTTTTTTTTAGGGATCTTGTTCCAGAAATGGACTGCATTTTGCATTCCGGAGCTACAAATTTTAAGTCCTGAAAAAAACACTTATGTGCATAGGGAAACTGGGGCACATACGTTGTTTTTTTGACCGGTCCGAAATTTATAGTTCCCAATTGCAAAATGAAGTTTAAATTAGATTCTTTTCTTATGCGTTCCGTGCTTATGCACGTGCCTATTTGGAGCTGGTGCGTATTTAATAAGTGCATTTACGTTTCCTTGGTGAGAGGGGTTAAATCGACTCCTCAGAGCCGTAGATTTCATAAAAAAAAATGTTGTTTCTTTTTTTCACACAAAAATCGAACATGCAACATAACGCCGCCTTGTCATTCAACAGGAACCATCCATCTTGCGATCCGGGTTCAAACGCGTTATGAGGTTACGCACCTAAATTCAAAACTATTTGCACCAAGTCCTCTGTCAGGCTCTGACCGCCGTTCCGTTAAGGTATTAATTCGGTTCGTCAGAGTCCACCAAACGCAGGCTCCAAATAGTATGCTGCGTTTACTCGATTCACGAGTCGTAGGTATCGTAACTTCATAAGGCGCCTGAGCAGGATTTCCGTCTTCTATCTTGAGCAGTGCTGAAAAGAGAATCAATTTTGTGTTTTTTTTTTCTTTCTTTTTGACTAGGGTGGTATAGGATATTCATGAATCCGCTCTGTGATGACGAACCAGGAGTTCAAGTTATACCTCGGGCGGGGGTCGGACCATCGCCAAGCGTGCTTAATTACCTTTACTATCGATCAATTACAAAAAGTAAATTAGTAATGTGACCGTCGTCACTGTAAACAATGTCGATTAGTGAAGGATTTTTGGCACGGGTGTCACGGTCGTAATCTTCCACGCTTTTATACCGTGCGCAAAGGATATTCAACCGACAAGGGATCGAACGGTCAAAGAAACCGGGTTTTCGGTTCTCGATACACTCTACAAGTTTATTCTCGGGAATGGACTTCAGCAAGTCGAGGACTTCAGAGATCTTCACCTCAGTGTCCCTGACTAGAAGGCCCTCTTCCTCTAAGAGTGGTACAACCGTGGAAAATTCGACGTCGATAACCCGACCATGCGCTAAAAGGGTGAAAGTGTGCATTCACATGCAACTCGGCACAGTTCGGTCAAAAAAAAGAAAACATGAATTATCCTGAATTAATTTTAAGAATGTTGTTGGTTCAAGCTGCCCGAGAATTTAGGGCTAGATCCCCGTTACTGAGAGTAGAAAAAATAAATTTTAAATCTACTTTACACAAATAAACCCGCGATAACGCGCGTAGGTCGGCTGGGGGTGCGGGTCCAAGAGGATAATTTTTTTGAGAGCAAGAAAAAAAAATTTAACAACACAATGAATGAGGAAAATTCAGGGTGAGTTGGTGCGCACACGGTTTAAGCCAACGCTTAATACGGCGTGGAATTGCGCAACGGCGCGAGTATTTCCTTGCGGTATGCGCGGAAGGGGAGGGTTTGCGATAACACGATTTATGGGATGTTCCTGTCTTTTAGGTCCTAAGTAACACATGATGAGAATTTTAGAAGTAATCAATGGGCACTTTCCCGAGGGACAGAAATGAGCAATAAAATTTGAAAGAAAAAAAAACGATCAATTAAATAAATAACTACCCTTCAGATTAAGCAATCAAAAGAGAATACACTCAAAAAAATGAAAAGGAAGAAAAATGACAAACAAACAGCGAAATATAAGGCCGGCCAGGGGGCTTGAAACCTGAAAAAAAAACTTGAAAAAGCGGAAAAAAAATTGCAAATAAGAGACTTGAAAATAAATTAATACGAAAAAAAAATTTTAGTGGTAGAGCTATGAAATTTAGGGGGAGTTTTTGCTTTGGCTGCGAGAACAGGGAAAGTAGTTGGCTCAATGGAGATTCAAAAGGAATGTCCAACTACCCGGCCCAGCCGCCACCATTTGGAACGCGGGGATGGTGCTCTCTCAGGGTGCGTTGCAGGGGCGACTAGAAACCTACTCAACAAAAACAACATGAAACAAATAAATGGGGGCGGTTCCACCAGGTCGTAATTGGGGAGGAGCTACGACCAGCTCCGTGAACTCTTTGGGGGGGGGGGGAG